ACTAGGAGCAAAGGGCATCGCTACTAGGAGCAAGAAGCTACTAGAGGTTCCTGGCCGTACTACGAACGGAGCAAGGTTTCGGCGTTTTCTCTCGCGTCCGAAGGACGGCTGCACTCGGCGCAGGTCCGCCGGCAACGTCTTGGTCCTGGAGATCCGCCGAGGCGGCGAAACCAGTTGGACGCCTGGTCCGGACATCAGGCCGATGGAGTTGGCTGGAGAGGTGCTGTGCGATTGCAGCGAACCCATGTCCTGAGACAAGAAGTTGAAGCTCCAAAAGTAGGCTTGGAGCTGTCAACCGCAAAGCTTCAAGATCCGGAATTGTATCTGCTTCCGCAAACTTCCTTGAGTCTCGGAAATTGATCCAAATTTGAAGAACCTGTCCCAGAACCTCCTGAACCTCACAGCCCAAGGCTCGTCTTCGGGCACTGGCGCGGAGCGTCCGCGGGCAAGCTGCAGTTGCAAGCCCCGACGACCCGCTAAGCTTTGGCTGGGGCTTAAACCTCGAGGAAGGCCATCCGAGAATGAGATCTTTGGGTCAAAAAAGAAGTTATATAATAATACATGAAACAAAAGAAAGCGATGGCCTCCAACCTACTACCGATGGCCTCCAAACGTATCAAATTGCTTACAGTATCTTTGCACAGAATTGTAGGCCTCGCCGCAGACGTGGTCCACTGGGCACATGTGGCATATGTGCGCTGCTGGTGCTGCTGCCTACAAAAGGCATGAGGTTGCAGTGGCGATCCCCTTTGTTCCTAGTAGCGTCCTTGCTCCTAGTAGTAAGGCCACGAGCCCCTAGTAGCGTTCTTGCTCCTAGTAGCGATGCCAGGAGCTACTAGTAGCATTCTTGCTACTTGAAGGAGTCGGAGTACTACATATCTCATCCGAGCTGCGTGTGCGGCCGGCGAGGAGAGGGGCTCACTTGAGGAGATCTTGAAGGAGCTCTTCACAATTCTCTTCTTTACACTCTTCAAAGACCCTTCAAGACACACCAAACACTCACAGTATCTCCTTTCAGGTAGAACAAGCCCACTTCACTACCGCCCGGCTTTCCAAGCCCAGCGGCTGGAAACCGTGGAATCCAAGCCCTTCCATGGGAAGAGCGGGCTTTCGGGGCCATGACCAGCGCTGGACGGCGTGCCATCCATGAGACATTCAGGAGGGGCCTCAGGGGAGCACGGGGAGTTGGAGTCAGGAGTTAGGAGTGTTCAGTCGGTATGGCCTTTCACCAAAGCATTATAAAGCTATTGGTTCTGAAACTTGGAAAATTGAGCAGTCAACGTGTCAATGTCAAGCAATGTTCCAAGATTTCCAAGGTTCCATTTTTCAAAGCCCGCCACAACAGCTTTGGTGACACGACGGCCTTCTTCCTTCGCATCAGCTCTTCGTCGGAACTTTGTCCTGGATGCCAGTCCTGTTCGCATCAGAGCGATGCATCAGACTCGTGTTGCAGCTCTTGCTTAGCCACCCCGGTAGGTTCACCAGTGAACGATAGCAACAGGACTCGTGTTTGAATTTTGCATCCTTCTGCAACCCGAAAAACTTGGGTGCCTCAAACATGTGAGTTGTGTCGTCTCCCAAAAAAACGACGATGAGCACCTCATCTTCATCGTCGTACGATCGCTCCAGCCTCTCCTGCCACCCATGACGTTGCACGATAGCTGATTGAAGCAAGCAAGCAAACTAGCAATAAAAGAGAACAATTCTACAGAAGAAAGGATACAAAGTACGGTACCTTGTTGAACCTTTGAACCTCCTGGCACTCATCCGTGGTCAACCATGTAGCTGACACATGCCAATACGCCCATCGATGCACACTTGTAATCCGACAAAAAACACTGAACTAAACATTGGACTCCACCAACTTCCCCAGATCTCAGGTGCCTGTTTTGCTCTTTTAGGCCGCTCCCCCTCCTCCATATTTAATTAAATAGACGCCTACTTAATTAAGTAAGGGAGAGGTAGCTGCGGCGGGGGAAGCTTCCTTGAAGAAGCGCTCGCACTAATGATTTGGTTCCTAGATTTTTTGGGAAACTTAACTGATAGCGATGGCCTCCAACCCAATAGGGATGGCCTCCAACCTGTTGTGCACCCACCATTTTCCACAATTCTCTCCTTGCTGGGTGACACCGTCTTCTCCCGCCCTCGCAGTTTGGACTCGGCTAGGATACCTGCAAGCGCAGGACCACAAGGAAGCAAAACTACAACCGCACACTGTGTACGTCTGTAGGGACCTGTTTAAGCAGGGGAACACTTGGGCTTGCATCTGATACTCCGTACAGATTAAAGCCGTGGCACCACTGATGTCAGGCAGGAGGGGTGTAGATTTCTGCATGAGTCCTGCAGCGCTACAAATCAGCAGAGTAGCAAGCGAAACGCTGGAGAAGCCAGAAGTGAATACGGCAAGTTGTTGCGTTTCAACTTTCAACTCGCTCCTGACTCCAAGACTTTGCTCTTGCTCCTCTGCAGTTGAGGTTTGACGGCATCTGGCCTCTTTGGCACCAGCCCCTCCCCCACTGGCGACAGTGGCACAGCTGGAAACGATGCTGGTGCAGTGGGTGGCTGATAGTCCTGACACTAGGAGCAGGCATGATCATCTTCATCTCCCTCCCCAAGAACAATTGGTGGAAAACATCCAATCTGTAAAGAAATGTCACCATCCAATCTGCTAGTAGGTTAAAGGCCATCGCTAGTAGGGTGGAGAAATGCCCCACGTGTGTCCAAAATCGGAAGCGAGTTCAACATGTCCAAGTTTGGAGGTCAAGAGCAAAGCTTTATCCTTGGGCCTCAACGCACGAACTTGCTCCGTCAGGGTCCACTGAGCCACCTGTAAATGCAAAAAGTATACCCTAAGCGCGGAGCTATCGAGCCAGAAGTACTACACTTGGACCTTTGGACCTTCTAAAGGTCCAAAGAAGAAACCAAACGCGTCTTTTTTCCTAGTAGCGTCTTGCTCCTAGTAGTAAGGCCAGGAGCCCCAGGCCAGGAGCCCCTAGCAGCTTCTTGTTCGTGCTTTCAAATAGCTTTCAAGCAAACAAAAAGGTCCAAAGGTGGTGGCCCGGTCCATTGGCCAAAGGACGCTGCGTCAAACTACGCTACGACAGGCCGGCCCCGGTTCCCCAGTCCCCATCCTGTGGGACCGCCAGCGGCTGCAAGGAGCCAATGGCATCAGAGAGCGGATCTCTGCTCGGTGCCTGCAACAGCTCCCCTTGGGGAACCTTCCAACTTGTGTGGCTTCGGGGAATGTAAAGATTCAAAAAAGAAAATGTATTTTCAAAATTTTAGTAGCGTCCTTGCTCCTAGTAGTATGGCCAGGAGCCCCTAGTAGCGTCCTTGCTCAACATTTTAAGATGTCATGGAGTTCTCAATATGAAGCTCTTCCAGTATCTGGTGATCTACCCATCCTCCAAGATCGTCCCACCTGGAGTGGCGTGGAGATGTCGAAGCTCACTGCTGGCGCCGAGGGGACCGGTCGCGGTAGTGTGTCGTCCGAAGGCTGTCGTGCCAGGTGCACCTGAAAGGCGAAGAAACTTGGAACGCTACGTTCGGGGCTCCTGGCCGTACTACTAGGAGCGATCGGACGCTGCTAGGGGCGCTTGGTCAATAACTAAGCTTGGTATTGAAAAGACATGGGTAGAAGTAGTAGTAAGGCACTTGTTACTACTAGCTTCTTGTTACTACTAGTAAGGC